GGGGGAAGTAGAAACTCCAGATTGCTTGACACTTTCCCTTCAGCTCTGCACTCTGTCTCTTCCCATGTCCAGATTGGCCTGCCAGGCCATGAGGCAGCTGCACCCAGAGGCCATTGCAGCCATCCAGAGCAAGGCCCTATTTAGCAAGGCTGAAGAGCAGCTGCTAAGCAAAGTGGGCTCGGTAAGGCTGGGGTCTCAGAAGGTTGAGAATCAGGGAAGGGTGCAAGTTGGAATGCTCAGCCCCTACCCACTGACTGTGTGTATGCACATGCAAAAGTGCAGAGGCCTTTGTGACTGGCTTCAAAAGGAGCCAGATCTGGCTCCCTGAGTGACTCTGTTGCTTCTTCTAGCTCCTGCGGTTCCTGAGGTAGGGGGAATGGCAGGAAGGCAGAGGTAGGAGTGAGGAAACCCAGGTTCATAGAGCATGTTTCTTGCCTCTAGACCAGCCAGCCCACCTTGGAGACCTTTCAGGACTTACTGCACAGACACCCTGATGCCTTCTACCTGGCCCGAACTGCCAAGGCCTTGCAGGCACACTGGCAACTCATGAAGCAGTATTACCTGCTGGAGGACCAGACAGGTAACACCCCAGGAACTGGCAGAGCAAGTGGATATGCTTGAGTGTGTGTAGGAAGTGCTCTTGGCACAGCTGACTTCTAGTACCCTATAACAGGTTATTCAGTGGCCCCCAGTGTCTTATTCACCTCACTTTGCAACAAAAACGACTTCCTCCCAGATAGGGGAGAGAGCATCAGGAATGGTCTTTGGCATCATGTTAAGGGTATCCAAAATTGCCTGAAATCCTGGGCAAAAAGTCCCAATAGAGTCATCTACCATTTCTTTCTTTCTTTCTTTCTTTCTTTTTTTTTTTTTTTTTTTTTGGTCTTTTCTTCTTGCATTTTGCTTTTACATAAATAGATTAGTTTCGTTGTTGTTGTTCTGTAGTACTGGGGTTGAACCCAGGGATGTTCTACCACTGAGCTATATCTCTAGTCCTTTTTTTCAATTTTATTTTTGAGGCAGGATCTTGCAATGTTGCCAAGGCTAACCTCAAACTTGATATCCTCCTGCTTCAGTCTCCTGAGTAGTTAGGATTATAGGTATGTGCCACTGCACCTGGCTGCATTAGTATATTTTTTTATGGCTAGCATTCAAACAGGAACAAGATATTAAAGCCTCCATTTCTGCTCTCCCTTCCCCTGTTTCCCACCTCTTTTTCTAAGCTTTCCTGCCCTTTGCCTCTCTGCATTCATTCTTCTCTTTCTTTGCCCTCCTCTCTTCCCACCAAGCATTCTGTGCTATCAGTTGCTCGTTAGGTCATTCAGAAGGTCTCAATTGGGACTTGACACACAGTCCACCTCTCTCTTCTCCTGTGGTCAGAATGCACTCCGTCTTCTCTCTTCCCTCAGTACCAAACTTACTCTCTTTCCTAATGATAAATGCTAGGAAATCAGTCTGATGAAACTGCAGCACCCTTTTGGTGAGATTTGTGATTCAGGTTTCGATTTCCGTGGTGCAGATGCACTCTTCCTGCCTAACTACCACTGAGACTGCCTTTCACAAGGTTTTTCACACTTTTCTGGAAATGAAGCTTCAGGTGTGCCCTTCACCTCTCTACCGGGTCCTGCAGCTTCTGGTTAGGAAAAGATACTCCTGCAGGAGGATTCTAGAGAATCTACCTCACAGAGGGAGGCTGTATCTTTCCCTCCTGAGGACATCTGGTTTTATGGGTCCAAGAACAGCCCTCTTTATTCCTGCAGCTTCCAGAACTCTGCTGCTTCCCCAGACTCTGCTATCACTGAATTCTTCCAGAGGAAACAGATACTGAGTAAAATTTATTTTTACTGCTAAATCTAGTTCCTTTGTCACTATTTTAAAAGTTATTTTATTAACTGAAAGCCTTATCTTAAAGGTTATATCTTTTCCTTGGAGTCTTTGCCTGTGGGGATTTGATGCATAGAGTTGGGAGTCCCAGGGAACATGTGGTCTTCACCAATTAGCTGTCAAGTCAGTTGCACATTAGAGTGGTAGAATTTTAGGCAGTGCTGGCAGGGAGGGTCATAGTGGGGTTGACCACCCCAGTCTCCTAACAGTCTCATCTAAGCAGCAGAGAGTAAAAGCATCGGTGCTCCTAGGCATCCTGCTTCCTTCCGTAGCCAATAGCAGTCCAACCACTGCCTGCCCAGTCACTGCAGTTCTGGGAACAGCTGGCCTATAAAGGCCTAAGTTCTCAGATTTGGGGCATCCCAATCCCTTTTATATCTTGTCTAGAAAAAAGTTGAAAAATGGGCTGGGGATGTAGCTCAGTGATAAAGTGTTTGTCTAGCATGCATGAGGCCCTGGGTTCAATCTTCAGCACTGTACCAAAGGAAAAAAGAAAAAGTAGAAAACATTTAATGAACATATTGGATGGGCTCTGATATTTTCCTATTCTATTTCGTTCTTTGAAAACAAATGAAACTAATTTCATGACCCATGATCAGTCATGATCCACAGACTAAATTAGATACTGGCTGGACGAGGGGCAGCTCTTTTCTGGCTTCATATGCCTCTTAGCCCTCCAACAGCAAGGCAGGAAAGCTGGGGAGTATGTGATGTGGTGGGAAGGAGCAGTTTGGATTTGGAATCTGGAGAGACTTGAATTCTGGCTGTGCCCCACAATAGGGTCAAATAGTGTAAACTGTCCTTTGTATCTGTTTCCTTATTTGAAAATAGAGCTAAGTGTAGTGTTTTCTCTGCTTAGTTCAAGGCTTTGTAACTGAGATCCGTTCACACACCTATACCCAAAAGCCCATGGAAAAGGTCAGCTTTGATTTCCTCCCAATCTAGAACCATCTCTGCCCATGAGTTAAATTAGAATGGGGCCTCGTTAGGAATGCACTAGGAGTAGGGGTCTTGGTGCTCACTCTTCCTCTGTCATTTGTTCAGTGCAGCCGCTTCCAAAAGGGGACCAAGTGCTGAACTTCTCCGATGCAGAAGACCTGATTGATGATAATAAGCTCAAGTGAGTGACTGGGGCCTCAGGCAGGGCTAGAGAGAGCTGAGTCACCCGTAGGTAGAGCACCCATGCTGCCCAGCCCAACTTAGCCCCCAGGCTCCAGTTGCAGCTGTTGTGCTTGGCCTCCCTGCTGCACCCTCTAGAGTGGGGAGGGACTTTTAGTCTCTCTTCCTTTCCCTTATCCCTCACCCTAATCCCAGGGAAAGAGGCTGGGCCAAAGCTGGATAAACAGCCTTCTGGGCCACTTGGCCAAAGATGTCAGGATTGCTCTGATGAGCCAAGTAGCAAGTGAGCTGAAAGTGGACTTGATTCAGTCTTCTTCTCTCATCCTTCAGGGACATGCGAGATGAAGTCCTGGAACATGGTAAGTGTACTCTGGTGGAAACAGGGAAGGGATAGAAGCTCTTGCCTGAAATAAGAGAAGACCTGTACAAAGTACTATGGCCTCAAAGTGTCGTTACCACCCCACCTTACCTCAGAGCTCACAGTGGCTGACCGGCGCCAGAAGCGAGAGATAAGACAGCTGGAACAGGAACTGCATAAGTGGCAGGTGCTAGTGGACAGCATCACAGGTGAGGAGGCCAGGGGACCAGAGGCTCCCTTTTGGGTGTCCTTTATCCCCTTTGAGCCTCTCCTATTGCCTAGCTGGATATGCCCTGCTTTCCCAGGCCTTGACTCCTGTCACTCATAGATCTTGCCCTTGTTCCCTGCTTTCCACTCTGCACTTGGATGGGCCCTTCCTAATCCTGCTCTTCCTCCAGGGATGAGCTCTCCAGACTTTGACAACCAGACATTGGCAGTGCTACGGGGCCGCATGGTGCGGTATCTTATGCGCTCACGTGAGGTGAGATAGGCCTTCCCCATCCTCACCCTCCTAAGCATCCCTCCTCTGTCATTGCCCTTTTTCTTTTTCTCATCTTCCTTGGCTTGTGTGGACTCCATCCCCCGTTCCTCAGGGCGCAACCCTCACCTACCTCTTTTCTCCAGATCACCCTGGGCAGAGCAACCAAGGATAACCAGATTGATGTGGACCTGTCTCTGGAGGGTCCAGCATGGAAGATCTCCCGAAAGCAAGGTACCCTTTACATACTGCTGCCTCAATGGGAAGCAGTGTGGGATGTTCCCCCCAGTCTTTCATTGTCCTTTCCAGCCCTGAGGCTTGATATCCTTGTGGACCAGCTGAGGCAGGCTGAAGGAGCCAGCATTTCAAAGTCTCTAACTCAGGAGTCCTACGTACCTTAATACCCCATCTCCAAGAAGCAGAGATGGTGGCTGGAGGCTCCTGGCTCTCTTCTGGCCCTTCCCCATCCCATTATCCCATTGCTTCACTACTTCCACAGGTGTTATCAAGTTGAAGAACAATGGTGATTTCTTCATTGCCAACGAGGGCCGACGGCCCATTTACATTGATGGACGGCCTGTACTGTGTGGCTCCAAATGGCGCCTCAGCAACAACTCTGTGGTGGAGGTGAGATGAGGGAGGGAGGGAGGTAGAGAGGCCAGGATGAGGTGGGGGCTTGGTGAGCTCATACACGGGCCTGGTTTTTTCCACCACTGTCCTCTCCCCACCAGATTGCCAGCCTTCGATTTGTCTTCCTCATCAACCAGGACCTCATTGCCCTTATCCGGGCAGAGGCTGCCAAGATCACACCACAGTGAAGAGGACAGGGTACCAAGAGCCCTGGGTTCTCTCTGGCCTCAGTTTGCTGTTATTCCAGCTCCCTTAAGCTGGGAACTCAGGCTCCTGGAAAAACCTGCCCAGGTGGGGAACAGGAGACCCAACTGCTGGCCTATTGATTTGCGTCTTTGAGGAAGGTGGGGCTGGCCATTGGGAAGCCAGGAGAGGCTGGGACCCTTGTGCTTCCCTAGAGCCAGAGCCCCTCCCCGTCTTCTCTGCAGACCACCCTCCCTCTCCCCTGATTGCCACCTTCAATCTTGTGTCTCCAGAGGATTAGCTTCAGATTTCTTTATTGTTTTTCTTTTGTAAATAAAAAGCACCAAATTCCAAAGTAGTTTCTTTTTTTATTATGCTTTTTTAATATAAAAAATGTAAGGACAGGTAGAGATGGGGCACATGCAAGAGAGGGCGGAATCTCTCCTTGTCCTCAGGCCTCTGCCCTCAGCCCACAGAGGGTGACAAGGTCAACAACAGAGCAGGCTATAGAAGGGCTCCAGAAGTAGGGACCTGCAGATTCTCAGCTCTGGGGTTTGCTTTTGAGGCTCCAGCCCACTCCTAAGAGTCAGGGAGCCAAATCCCCCTCATGTCTCTGGTTCCCTGCCCTGAGCCAGCAGGCAGCATGGAGTCCTGAGATTGGGCAGAGCAGCAGAGGTTGGCATGTCTGTAGCACAGTCAAACCCCCGTCCCTTCTTCCTGGGTCCACTGGACTGTGCCAGGGCCATGACAGCCAATAAGCACCATCTCTAGGCTGTGGGGGTCCCAGGGCAAGGCCCGGCTCCCTGATCCTGGTGGGGGCTCTCCAGTGCTGGTAGTTTCTGCCTGGCTCACAGGCTCTGGGGGCCCAGTCCCAGCCCCTTCCTCAGGAGGAAGCGAAGCTGGGGTGCTAGGCTCAGAGCAGAGTTCTCCTGAGCCAGGGGGCTCTGAGTCTGAGGTGGAGGTCCACAAAGTTGTGGCTCGAGGCCAGGGGGAGCTTTGAGATGCTGGGGGCCCCCAGGGCCAGGGTGCCATGAGGGGAGGGGGCCCTGGACGAGGGTGGGGCCAGGTCCCACTTAAGACAGAGCCAACTGGGGGCTGTAGGTAGGAGGATGTCCCAGTGTCCACACGGAGAGGCTGCAGGAGCCCAGAGGCACTGACTGTACCTCTGCAAGGCCCCTCTCCTGATGCCCTAGGGCATGGGCCCTCCCCATGGGGTACCAAGACAAGCTGCACAGCCTGGCGAAGTGACTGCAGTCCCTCCCGCATCTGTAGTACCTGCTCAGATAGCTCCATCACCTTCAGGGGTAGGAGAAGGTGAGGTCAGTAACATCGGGTATCAAGTAGTATAGTGCCTGCCCCTTCCCCTCCCTGTCCCCACCTTGCCCCTCACCCACCGCCTGCCGTAGCTTGTCCAGTGTATCCGTATTCCTTGCCTCGCTGGGCCCAAGGGGGACAGTGAGCAGGCCACTCTCTGCGGATAGGATTGGGGTTAATGAGAATCAGCACAGTGTCCAGGTTTTTGTCCCCCTTAGAACACACCTGGTTAGACCTCACTCAAGAATAACTACTTCTGCCTTGCCCAAGGAACTGAATTTTGCCTAAACTGCCAAGGGCAGGAAAACCCTTTCCAACAGACCTTGGTCACATTGCCCTGTACACTTCTCCCCTCAGGAAGTTGTTCTTTGTGACTGTCCCTTATTCTGTTCTTCAGGAAAATGGATATTCCTGAGACCTCTCTACTTTGTCCACTTCCCAGAGCTGCTTCACCTGGCCTAGAACCACTATCAATCCTGGTTCCCTATCTCTTTATCCTCCTAGTGAACAAGGCATTGAGCTAAGGGTTTAGTTATAGTATCTTATTTAACATGCACACCCATTTTATAAAACAAGAAACTGAAGCCAGAGAAGCCAAGTTCACACTGCTAGAAAACTGACAGAATAGGAGTCCAAACCCAGGGCCCAGATTGGTCTTCACAACCAAACTCCCTGCCCAGTGGTGCAGAGGTAGGTAATGGCAAGAGGGCTTCTGGGCAGAGTCTGCCCCTGGCCAGTTTCTCTAACAGTGCTGTTCCACAAGGAAAAGGGGCCACCCCACCAACATACTCTGTCCCTGGGCCTAGTACCTGGTCCAGGGGAGGGGCTGCTGCTACATTCCAGGCCAGGTTGACCCACGCGGAAAGAGAACTTGTGCTGGTCAGAGCCACAACCATCCTCAATGCCATCTACAACCCTGTGGACCCAACAAATCAATAAACAGTTGACAGGTGACCACTATTGTGTTACAGGGCACAGGATGCTCCAGTGCTTATATACAGAGACTGCAGCAGCATGGAGCTGGACAGGGGACCCTTGAGGTTCCAAGAAAAAGCTAACACACCGTCCCTTCCCCTACAAGCTTGCCTTTGAGCAGAGGAGACAATTTGAGCAATATGAAACAAGGGTTCAGACTTAGAGCAGGGTGTGACATACACTAACAAGTGTAGACAGAGGAGTCAAGAAAGTCTTCCCAGATGGGGCAAGCTTGGACCACGAAGGCAGGGAGAAGTGAAGATGCAAGGATGGGCGCTCAGGGTGTGGGTATGCCTGGCTGGGACCTCTCTCTTACCACTCTCACCCTGCCATGGGGCCAAGGCCTTGCTTACCTGGGGCTAAGGTCTGGGGGCACATTCCATGGCATGGGGGGCAGCCGCAGTCCCTCCAGAGTCCGTGGGTGAGCAGAAGCACTAGCCTCAGCCTTCAAAGCCCTTGCCCTGCTCGGTCGCCCCCTGCCACCTAGACGTGGCCGGGGCGCAGTTCGACGAGGGGATAGCAGTTTGGCAGCCGAGGATGAGGAGGTGCAGCCAGGGGACAGCAGAGGGCTGGAGGGCTCATCTGCTGTGGCCGGTGAGGCTGTGGGGCCCTGTTCCCCATCTGTCTCTTTCTCCTCCAGTGTAGACATGAGGGTGTTGTCACCACTCAAGGAGCTGGTATCTACCTGGGGACAGGAATAGACATGCATGGCAACTGTTGTGTCCCATTCATCTCTCCTGCAAAGAAATCATCTCCCCTAGAATGGATGAGCCATCTTTATTAAACAGAATACCCAGTGTCTTCCACTCTGTAGAGGAAGAGGCCCCATTTAGGAGGGGTGACTTGTTTTGCTACTGCCATCATAAAGCTACCAAGCCCTTGAACCATTAGCTACCCCTCAAAATTCCACCCAAATGTGAATACACCACCCCTCAAGCTAATAGAACTATCCAAGAGACTACAGTACTCAAAACTGGTTTAGAACTAGTGATATTATCCAGGGAAATTCAAAAGCCCTCAGAACAATCTTGTTTTGCCATGAAAAAGCAGAGAAAGCCACGGTGCTCTCCAGAAGCAGCCTGGAGGATTGTGCCTATCCCCTGCCCAGGTGCCTGACAACCCCTCCATTAGCCAATGAGGCTCATTTGTTACCAGTGCACTTGCCCTCCTTAACCTGACTTTGCTCTGGACAGGGGCGAGCTGCTCAGATGGGCCAAGCAGGGACACAGGGGTGGCCAGGCTTGATTGCTGACTTCTAAAAGATTATGTGGATGTGAAAGGACAGACTTTCACACTGGGCCATGTCTTCCCCAGCCCCTCCATGCACATAACCCAGCACCCTCACCTCTGCAGGGCCTCCCCCAGAACCCAGGTTGTAGCTGAGCTCCCCTCGGAGACCACGGCTGAAGCGTGGGGCAAATTCAGGGTACAGTGCAAGACTATCGTGCAGGCCAGCCAGCTGCAGGCACTGCAGGACGCAGTAGGTCAGCCCCTTCACGTCGGCATTGGCCTTTACCACCTGCTCCCGCTGGGGCAGCTCACAGCCAATCAGATCGCCCTTCCCTGGGGAAAGGAAACAGAAGTCAAAGAACCCTTACCCCCAGTCACTGAGGGGAGGTGGGCCAGAGACCACATAGCCTCCCTCTTCTACAGAGTCAAGCTTTTCCAGCTGGAGTGGCACTGTGAAACCTTCAAGTGAGGTGGAGAGAAGCAGAGGCCTGGTTAGGGTCATGGCCTGACCACTGTTGCCTGCCTCACTGACTCCCCACATAGGCTTCCGGTGAAGTGGAGCCCAGACTCTCACTTTCAGGATCAAAACCACTGAGCTGAAACCTCAGCATCTTAGCTCTGAGACTGAACAGCCATCAATTTTAGTAGTTCATAGACAGGCCATCAATTAGAATCCCCTGAGAAAGTTAAACCAATTGGACTCCCAGGCCCCATCCCTGCCTTTAGCATTGTTATTTCTATAAGAGACCCTATGATCTGATTATTTTTAAAGTCCTACAGATGATTCTGGTGAAGCTTATCCAGGGGCCAGTGGTTAAAAGCAGCAGTTTAGTACCTAAAGTGGCATGGCCCAAATGTCAGGCAGCTGAGGTCCTTCATCTTCCAGGGCCCTGGCTGCCTCTTCTACACAAGAGAAGCTGCATCTGCCTGAGTCAATGAGGTTTTATTGATCTCACCAGAAGGTCTCCATGGGGAGTTTTCCCATCATCAGGTTGAGACTGCCACCTGGCTGATAGCAACTTTAATATGGCATCAATTATGATCTGGGACCCAATCTCAAAAATGTTGGATTGGAGGGGATGGAACGATGTGTGTCTTAGAATCAATGAAATAGAACTAGGTATGGTGGGACACACCTATAATCCCAACAGTGCAGGAGGCTTAGGCAAGAGAATCACAAGTTTGAAGTCAGCCTCCACAATTTACCAAGACCCTCTCTCAAAATGAAAAATTTGAAGTACTGGGAATGTAGCTCAGTGGTAAAGCCCCCCCATAGTTCAATCCCCAGTACTGCAAAAATAAAATAAAATAAAATAAAAATAAGAAGAAGGAGGAGGAGGAGGGAAGGAAGGAAGGAAGGAAGGAAGGGAGGGAGGGAGGGAGGGAGGGAGGGAGGAAAGAAAGAGGAGGGGAAGAAAGAATGTTCTCAAGGTATCTGCTTTTAGGGACATGAGAATCAAATGAGTTATGTAGATAAAGTATATGACAGAGGCAATCTTCCTTCCTTTCCCTTCAGGCAGAGTCCCCTTTAGATTATTCCTGGCATGGATTAGGGTGCAACCTGGGCAGGCAGAACACTCACTACCATGAAAGGCAGCTCAGCCTTCCACCAGATCATTCATACAATTAGAGTGTCCATATCCTTAAGAACAAAGACAGGTAGCTGCTGGCATCATACAGGGAACTTAGAAATGTTTGTGGACTTCTGCTCAAACTTAGGTGAAAAATGCACTTAAGTTCTGGTTCCTTTTGAGAACTATTTGGATCTCAAAGTGATCCTCTGAAGAATAATCTCTCTCTCTCTCTCTCTCTCTCTCTCTCTCTCTCTCTCTCTCTCTCTCTCTCTCTCTCTCTCTCATTTGTGTCATCTGAAATAGGTTAAACGTGTGTTCTTTGTCCTCATCTATGCAGTGACATGAAAATGACAAACAGGTGGGGCTGGGGCTGTGGTAGAGCGCTTGCCTGGCATGTGTGAGGCACTGAGTTCGATCCTCAGCACCACATAAAGATAAATAAATGAGTAAATAAAATAAAGGTAATATGTTTTTTAAAAAATGACAAACAGGAAAGGACTAAGGGTAGAGTTGCAAAGACTGAAAACTGCCCCAGATTGGCACCTTGGCCAGAGCCTCCAGGCTAAATTCACCCAATCTCCTTCCCTCACAGGACTTCACAATGCTTAGCCTAAGTTAGTTCACAAACAGGTGGGGGCCAGAATCAACACTGGAAAATGTGGGGCCAGTCTCAACTACCAGGAGAGAGCAGAATGCACCCAGATGCTCAGCAGATGTGGAGATGGTAGGGAAGGCAAAGTAGAAAACCCAGGTCATGATTGGGGTCAAACATTCATTGGGGCAGCCAGAGCCTCCAAGTCAACAAAGAAATAGTTTATGCAGAAGATTCAGGCTGGGACAGGATAGATCCAAGGTGGCGTAAATCCTGATGCTGGGAATATTCTGGTGGCAAGGCCTGGGCCACAGCCAGGGGCCATTTTCTCAGCTCCATCTGAATACTTAACAATGATTGTGGCTATTCTAAGTCTTGGTGCCTGACACTAGCAAGGAGCAGCTCCAAGAGGTTCCCCATACCAGCTCCCAACCATGCTGTTTTCTTGGCTCCAAGCTGAATGCTGTCTGTTTACAATCCTCTTGACAACCTTTCTTTGCATTGTCTAGTCCTCAATAGTCAAAAATCTGCCTTTCCATCCTTCTGATCCCTAGTTCTCCATAATTCTTCATAAAATACCAGCCATACTTGAGTGTATAACCCCATTTTTTCTTTTTCTTTTTAGATGGGGTGTTGCTAGAACTTGTGGGCTCAAGGGATCCTCCTGCCTCAGCCTCCCAAGTAGCTGGGACTACAAGTTCATGCCACCACAACCAGTCATAACTTCATTTTCTCAGTCCTAGCATAAATTTCCTATAGGCCTAGAAGTTGGACTCATGAAAGATTATAAAAAGGGGGTGGGGGTGGGACATCAACAGCCTGTCACCTCTCACAAGCTCCAAGATCTCCTAGTGGCATTTCTGCCTCTTATTTCTATTGGAAGTCCCTCTTCCTCAAGGGAACAAGGATGGACTCCCTGTAGCTGCCAGGGCATCTAGTAACATGGCACCACCTTCTGGGTTCCTTTCCATACTTCTAGTCTTCATTGTGGATCACCAGGTAATGATGAACCTCAGTCCCTCCAGGCCTCAGTTGTCCCCATATTAAGTACTCAGCTGCTGTCAGTCATGGTCAGGTCAGCACCTTCTTTCCATTTTGTGTATGAGTCTATCATTTACCCAAGCAGGTCCTAGTGTTCCTCATTCTTTGGGGTCACCACTGAGAGCCTCCCACAACCACAGGGAAATGCTCCTCTTTAATTGCTTTTCCTGGATGCATGTACATGCTTCCCAAAGTGCCTGAATATTTCCCTAAAGTCTAGGGGCACATTTATCCCTCCCGAGATGTTTCCCACAGCACCTGGGAATAGCATGTAAACATGAGATTTAGAGTCAAGCAGACTAGGTTCCAACCCATTAGTCAATCCTTTGCTGTTCTGTAAAGTTTGAATTAGATCTGGCACATAAGGAGCTGGAACAGGGCTAGTACTGCTGTCTGCCCCCTGTGCTGAACATTATTATCACAGCCATTCCACAATGGCAATCTCCTCACCCTCATCTAGGAAATTGGTTCCTCATCTTCATCTTTCTTTTGCTAAGAAGAGAAGTCTGCATGCTGCAGGTACCATTTTACCAGAACAAGTTTCTCTAGCCATTTCGAGGCTGACCTGACCCTGGGATCTGGGCCTGCTCTGTGACCTGCCTCAGGGAAGTCACATCCTACCACCTAGGGGACCCACACAAGGACAGCTTTCATTCCTCTTTCAGCCCTGTCTGAATACTCTTCCTAGCACTTCTATCTTTAGCATTTGATTGCCAGACAGTGCTACTCTTCTATCTCCTTATAGATTGGCTCCTTTTATTATTTTTAAAAATTATTATTATGCAGTACTGGGGATTGAACCCAGGGATGCTCTACCACTGAGCTATAGACCCAATTCTTTTTATTTTTCATTTTGAGACAGGGTCTTGATAAATTTCCCAGCCTGGCCTCTTATTTGTGATCCTCTGAACTCAACCTCCTCAGTAGCTAAAATTACAGATGTGTGCCAGTCCAAGCTTGGTTCCTTTTAAAAAACTGGCTTTCCCAGGCACACCTCCAAGATCATGATCACCTCCTGTGTCTTCATGGTGCAGTCATTGGGTTTTCTCTGAACTTTGCCCAGGACTCTTGACTATTCCTGACTCCATCCTGGCTGTTTCTCCCTTCTGGGGCCTTGTGGCACCCTGTCTAGGTTTCCTGCAGATCAGAGCCATGGTGTCTCCCCTACACACTCTCTCTCACACACACACAGCACACACTGTATCCTCTCTCCCACCCACACAAACCTAGGATGGCGAGCACAGTGCCACCCTTGAGCACCTCCATGGAGCCAGAGCAGACGAAGTAGAGGGCCTGAAGAGCGTCACCCTGGTGGATGAGGTATTCGCCAGGTGTGCAGAAGGCAGGCCGCAGGGCCAGGGACAGTGCCCTCAGGCATCCTCGGCTGGCTGCCTCAAACAGCGGCAGCTGCAAGACCTCCTTGTGCAGGTGCATGGCGATGTCTGCACGAAGCTCATCAGGGAGGCTCTGCAGCAGCTGCAGGCAAGCAGGTGAAGAGATTTGGGGGTGGCAGAAGGGATCCCAGCCAGCCAAGCCCTCTACATCCTCACAGGCCTTAGGAGCGAGGGGAGGTGACAACAGAGGCTCCACACTGAGGGTGCACTCAGTAAAGGGGGCTAGCCCTGCCACCCTCTCAATTCCTTACAGAATTTTCCCCCTTGCAGTATTGGGGATTGAACCCAGGGGCACTCTACCACTGAGCCACAAACCCAGCTTTCATTTTGAGATGGGGGTCTCACTAAATTGTTCAGGCTGACCTCCAACTTGCAATCCTCCTGTCTCAGCCTCACAAGTAGCTGTGATTACAGGCCTGTGTTACCACACCTGGCTTTAGTCCTCTCTGAGCAGCCCCTTTCCTCCTCCAACCTCAGGCTCAGATTTCAGCGAGCACAGAGCCTCCAGTCCTAACTGGGGTCCACAGGAGCTCCAAGCCGTCTTGGCTGCTGTCCCCACAGGAGAGCTGAAGCAGGGAGGCATTCCTCACCCTCCATCCCTACTCCTTAGGCCAAGTGCAAACCCCTTGAGGGAGAAAAGGCTAGAAGGGCTAACCCTGGAAGCCCGCCACACCTCAGTGGTATCGATGCCATTGTTCACAGCCCAGGTAGCCTGGAAGTACTCAAGCATGCGCTGCTTGAGGGGCTTGGGGATCCGATGGATACGGATATAGTCACGCAGGTCACGAGTGCGGCTGTGGTACAGAAAGCGGCGGGCGTACATGCGCTGGATGATGGCGGTCACGTTCCCAAACACCACTGCGTGCATCAGGGCTGGGGAGGGCAATAAGAGCAGGTCATCTGCAGGCCTGGCCTGACCTGGTTGATACCGTGCTGGACACATCTGTCCTCTACCCCCTCCCCACTCCACATGCTCTTATGCAGGGTGCATGGGCTCTGTGTAGCCCTGTGTCTCTCCCAGCCCTGGCCTTGTATTCCACAGACCACCTAAGGCAAAAGAACCCCTGGCCTGGGGCCCTGGGGAAGGTGAGAGGGGAGGGTTGAGGCCAGCAGTCTGGGAGTGGGCCCAGAGAAACCTGCAGGCCAGGCCTCACCACCAATCAGCATGGTGCAGATGGAGAAGATCTTCTCAGTGTCCGTGTTGGCGGACACATTGCCAAAGCCCACGCTGGTGAGGCTGCTGAGTGCGAAGTAGAGGGAAGTGATGTAGGCACTGCGTAGTGATGGGCCGCCCAGGAGCTCCAGCCCAGTCCCATTAGCCTCGCTGCTGCTGCTGCTGCTGCTGCTGCTACAGTTGTCATTCTGGCCAGAGCTGTTCTCTCCAACTGGTTTCTTGCCCACCAGGTAGTAGGGGGTCTCCAGTCGTCGGGCCAGCTCCTGCAGCCAGCCTGGGGAGAGGGCAAGGGAAAGGTCTGAGCAGGTAGGACAACTTGACGGCTCTGAGGGTACAGGTGTGCTAGCCCCCTAGGGTTGGGGACATGCAGACACAGACTCACCCTCATGAGTTCCCACTACTTTTTCCCCTTCTCTGCCAGCCCAGCACACCCAACCACCCTCTCAACCCTCAGCATGACAAGCACATAAGGAAAATGTTGCCACCTCCCCAGCTGGCTCCTGTTGGTGCCAAGGTTGGAGCAAGGAGAATCACAACCTCTTTCCTATGTCTGGTACTAATCTCAGGGAATGGGTCTAGCTGGAGGGATAGAGGCTGGGGTTCGTGGCATTCAATCACAGCCTGGTCTCTAATGCTGGATAACAGAGGCCATCTCCTTTGCCCTTTCTACCCAGACCCTTCTTCCTGTCTGTCTCAGCCCATCTGCTCCAGAAATGCTCCCCTGGCACCATTCAACCTCATCCCTCACCCAAACCACACAAGCCACCTAACTTCACAAAGGTGCTCTTAAGTACACCCATATGGATATGGTTACAGATACTGCTGAGACTTACACATGCTGCACACACAGTCAAGATGACAAGGACACACATGTGAGCACCTTATAGATGCCCAGACACAGTCACAGCCACTCACACTGAAATGGCCTCTGTATACTCTGAAGAGAGGCAAAGGCACATAGGAGCTTGCAGACTGACACACAGGCTTGGGGCACACTTGCACATAGGTGAATACATTCAGAGGCCTCAGCAGGCACCTGTGCACTTGCACAGGTATGTGCACATAAGCAGATGCTTGAATGCACACAAAGATATGGGCCCACTTCTTGTCTGGCCTTGGCAGGAGGCAGAGCTGTGTACTGGGTCTCTAAGAAGCCTATGCCTTCAAGAAGTCACTGTGAACCTGGCTGGAGGGTTGTGGGGGCTCTATGGTGCTGGATGGGAGAGAGGGCAGTTTAGCTGATGGGGAATGGAGTGGCAGAGGACAAGTGCAGGGTCACAGGCTGCAGCGGGATCCACCTCTCCACACACGCTCTGCCCTCCCATCTCAACACACAGATCATGTACCACCCTCTTCCTGACACCTATTACATGTAGTCATTGTGGTCCCCACACCCCTCCTGTCATGCATACACCCATTCTCTCAGCACCGAGGGCCAGGAACTTCTTGAGGACTCTAGTTCAGAAGAACAAGTAACTACTATAGAGTAGGCACTACATCCCAGAGGTGCCAAATGAGGGGGCTCAAACCTAAGTGGGGGGATGTGTGTGCTTGGTTTCAAAGGATAGAGAAGGTTTTGATCTAAGCAAACTTGAGAGGGAGTCATTTCTGATAGAGGGAAAGGCATGGGCCAAACCCGGAGATGGAGACTTTAAGAAAGTACAGTCAAGTAGCTCAGTGTGGCTAGAATGTGTGGTTAACACTGAGGGCATCAAATTCCAGGCTAAGGAGTTTGGTGGGATGCAGTAAGGCCTGGACCAAGATAAGACTTCACTCCTGTTATCCCAGGTGTGCTGTGGGGATGTGACGGAGGGGTTTTACACGCAGAACCCTTCAGTCACTATTTAGTTGGGTAGTCAGATAAAGGGGTAGTAGTGGTGGCAGGAAACAACCAGATAGAGATGAGGGTAAAAAGGGACTTTTCATTTTCATGGGACCTCAGCAGCCTTAGAGCTAGTACTAGGAGAGTGCATGAGGGGGTTAGGCCAGCCAAGGTTGTTCCTGGAGGTTGGTGCCTTTCACACTGAGAAATGCTCTGAATTTTCTCCTCAGTATTCAGCCCAATCTTTTTAAAAAACTGCTCATTTTCACTGGGCTAATGGGAATCTGGGATAAGAACTCTGTCCACACCACAGGCAGTAGAACAGGGGACCAACACAAGAAAGCCATAAAGAAGAAGCTTCCCAGAAGAAGTGGGAGGTGATAATATAAAGGACTTCAAAATCTTCTAATGTGGACCAGTACCAGTTCTAGATGGAAAGAATCCTCTCTGGAACTCAGACCAAGGGTGAAAGAATTACCAAGACTCAGTCACCCCTGTACTCCCATGCTCATTGTGGTAGGGCCCAGAGCTTCTCTGAGAGCCAGAGATATTCTTGATTTCAGATCATCAGCCCCCATGAGGTGGTTGGAACAGAGGAGCTTTGTGGACTCAAGGCCAAGGTTGTCTGGCCTGCTGTAGGGGATGGGGCCAACCTGGGGATTTGGTGTCTTAGGTCACTTTGTAGGGGCAGAAACAGGGTCAGGGCATTTGCTGACCCCACAGCAGTCTCCACCACAGACTCCCTCTGGGACAGGCACCAAGGAGCTGACACTGCTGGTGTGTCCCAGTTTCCACCTGCTCAGCAACTGGAGTCCTCGGGGGAATAGCCAAGTGGAACCTCTAGGCACACACCAATCTCCTGTGCACTTGGCAAGGAGGAGAGGATTTGCAGAAGCCTCATCATCTCTGGGGAACTGATCAGAGCAGGTTTCTAAGACTGACCTGGACTCCTGATGACCCCACCAAGGAGCAAACTGACATGAGAGGCTGCCTGAGCACTGGAAATGCACTAAATGTCAGTTACTGCAAAGTGACAGAGGGCTGGAGGTTGTGGGAGGAAGGTGTGCACTCATTTTGGGAACTGAGAGCATAGAGTTAGAAATGGCTGGAACAGAATGGTTCTGATAAAGGGAAAAGATGGGAGTTGCAATGTTCATGTAGTAGCCTCAGTGGGATGGCCAAGGGAAAACAAGGAGAGTAAGGAGGAAGGAAAGCCTATCTGGAGTCTCTAGAACTTGGAGGGGCTGGGGAAGAAGGGGGCCAGACCAGGGTTATCCTTCCCAAGGCAAAAGAGCATGATTGGCAGGGTTAGCTGCTATAGAGACTTCACAGAAGAAAAAGGTTTGGCCCCAGAAGGTCACTGCAACCTTTCACACAACATTTTGGGTGGGAAGGTGGGGGTGGAAGCCCTCCTAGAAGCAGTTAAGACTGAGTGGGTGGTGAGCAAAGGGAGGAGCTGTGGCGGTGAAGGTGAAATGGAGGAGAGCAAAGACACTGGGGACACAGAAAATGTTTTTTTTTTTTTTTTTTTTTTTTAGGCTCAGGGAGAATGTGGACACAGCTGAGAGAGATGTGGGCTGTAGGTGACAACAGTGAGGCAAGGGCCTCGGATCCTTGATGGGTACAAGCTTCATAGAGGGTGACATTAGAGGAAAGGCAAGGGCAACAGCTCCCTCCCTGGCCTTCCCAGTTGGGCAAGGGCCTTAGGAATGTGACAAAGGTTTGACTACCAGGAAGACACAATGGGTGACTGAAACTCCCCAGGCAGCCTACACAACCAGGCTGTCTATACAATGGCCAGCTGGTGGAGAGCAGCCATATGATGGTGGCTGTCATACACACCCGCATACCCCTCATCTGTCACACACTTGCAAACTTGCACACGTCTCTGACACCGGGTATCACTCCTCAGCATGCACACACCCACCCCAACCTCCAGTACCAATCTCAGGCAGCTCAGATTCACTGCTCTCAATCTCCTGCTGGCCGATGTAGAACCAGATGCAGGCCACCCAGTGGGCGAGCAGGGCAAACACAGCCATGAGCAGGGTCAGTACCACAGCGCTGTACTGGGAGTACCGGTCCAGGCGTGGCAGCAGGCGCAACAGGCGCAGTAGCCTCACGGTCTTCAACAGATGGGCCCCAAAGTACTGAGATGGGGAAGGGTAGTCATCTCAGGCTGACTGTGCCTGTACCAGCCCAAAGCCCCCCTACCCATCCCAGCCACACTGACCACATTGACCTTGAAGGCGTGTAGTAGGTCAAAGGGCAGTGCTGCGATGACATCCAGCAGGAACCAGGTGGTGACATAGTGCAGGCAAATAGACTTTGGAGCAAACACCACCTGGCCCGACTTGGACACAAATGTGGTGCGGAAATTCAGCACAATATCTGCAGGGAATCAGGTGGGAGTCATTATGGGGTGGGCAGTCACTGTTTACCACTGGGCACCTGCTCAGTACTTGACACTATCCTGAGCCCTTCACATATGCCACAGTGTGACATAACTGTCACAGTAACTCAAGCAGGCACACATTATTTTGCCTCTTTTATGGAGAGAGAAACAGGCTTGGCGAGGCTATGACTAGCTCAGGGTCCTATACCACATTAGAAGCAGAGACACAATTGGAACCTAGATCTGATTTCAAAGCTCATGAGTCACAAACACAGGGAGGGCAAAGGGGACACTAGTGGGGGACTGGAAGCCATACAGATGATTCCCATCAAAGCCCGAAGGTGTCTGACATGGAATGAAGAGGAAGGAGCAGAGTGCACATACCAAGGATGAAGAGGACCTCCACGGCCAGGTCACAGACACTGGGTGGGCCACGAGCGGCACTGGGCTCCCGGGCTGTGCTCACACACACACTGTAGGGCACAGTGACAGCCACATAGAGTGTGGCGAGCAGGATGAAGCCATCCCAGGTGGCTCTCAGTGCCCCGCAGTGCAGCAGGATGAAAGGTGACTTCCGGATGGCAGCAACTTTGTATTCTGGCAAGTTTGGCTTCTCCCCAAATACTCCCTGAGTGAGGCAGGGCAGATCCAGTCAGGGAGGAAAGGATAATGGCACAGGCTGAGTTTGGATAGTGTCTGAGAAAGGCATTTACCTCTCCCTGCACTCTCAAAGCAACCTCTGAGGTGAGCATTAGAATCCCCATTTTATAGATTAAAAAAAAAAAAAAGGAGTTTGCCAGGCATGGTGGCACACACTTATAATCCCAATGACTCTGGAGACTGAGGCAGGAGAATTGCAGTTTCAAAGCCAGCCTCAGCAACTTAGTGAGGCCCTAAGCAACTTGGTGAGGCCCTATCTCAAAAAAAAAAAAAAAAAAAAAAAACCAACAATCAAGGAAGTGGAAAAGTGCCCTTGGGTTCAATCCCAGGTACCAAAAAAACAAAAGAGGTTTTGGGAAATCAAATAACTTAACTGAGGTCACACAGCTATTTAGGGGACAAGCAAGGATTGAGCTAAGGCACCTCTGACTCTAAAGCTAAGACCTTTGATGGGTCAGACATGAGACAGTCCTTCCCTCAGTCCCAACCCTAGAAATGGAGGTGGGGCCTGGGTGGTTTCCAGGACTCTTTCTCTCTGGTGGGATCAGTTCCCCTCTTCCATGTCCTCTTCCTGTTCCCCATCCCAAACACACACCCTAGTATTTAATCCACCTTATTGAGCTTGTGCTTGCCCTTGGGCTGCTTCTGTAAGTGCCCAGAGAGGTGGTAGAGCACAGCCCTGCTCCGCCGCCGGTTGGCATTAAAGCCTTTGGCTCCTGCCCGGCCATATCGGCGCCGGCCACCACCTGAAAAAGAAGAGGGGCCCATAAAGATGGTGTGGGGTATATCCACATACCCCATCACAGGGTTCTGGGTGTGGGACACCAGTTGCTGGCCCATGGACTGATCTGGCTTATTGACCATTTTGTCTGTTTAGAGTTGGGAGCTTAGGCATTCCTTATTTCCTGAAGCCACTTGCCAACCATAGCAATGGGCAGATTGGCATTATAGACACCACTTCTAGGAGAAGGTTTCCAGGGAAAGGCCTGGGAGAGGGAGTTTGGTCACAGAGAAGGAAGGCAAAGTTAGTAGAAAGCCATCATCAGAGGTGTGGGAGCTCAGAGAAGGAGCCCAGGGTTTAGATTCAGGGGTCAGAAAGTGATATTAAAGATATTGGAGAAGCAGACCCAGGGGTGGGGTAGAGAATTGGAATGGAGTGTGCCCCCTATATCCCAAGAGTCCTTGGAGCAGCATCTGATGACAATTCTGTGACCTGCCCAAAGGCCTGCCCCAGCCATTGGTGGGATACAAGAAGGGAGCAAGTGCTATCTTCTCTCTGGAGATAGCCCTTGAATACATATTTGCTTTCCTAAATAAACCTCTGTCTATGTCTCTGGGGGGAAAAGGTGGGGGAAAGACTCCAAGAATTTAAAAGAGGGCTGGGGCTCCCCTGACAGGTATGCTGTGGGGAAAAGGAAAAGTCTGTGGTCAGCCTCACTAACTAGTGGGAAAGGAGTGCTTCATAAGCATGAGTGGAACTTGCTTTCCACTTCTTAATAAAGTTAACTTGAAAACTCCAACTTTGTCTCAACAGGCCTATTTGGAAATAAGATTTCCAACCCTGGGCATGCACAGAGGAGAGCAGCACAGCCCTCTCAGCCAGCCAGAGTAGGACCCTGTGAGTACAAGAGGGAGGGGGATCCATAAGCCCAGACTGGATGCTAAGGCCCTGCCCAAGCCTGGGGTACCCAAAAAACAGCCACATCAACTAAATCAATACCCCAACAGGCACCCACCTGTCTCCTTCCAGCTGTCAGGGCCCCCTCGGTTCTTGGTGTCACTGATGTCCTTGTGAGAGACCAAGAAGAGAGCCACCTCCCCTTTCTCATTCTTTATGGGTATCACATCCAGAAGACACCAGAAAGGAAGCCCTGGGCATAAAAACAGACTCATCCTACCTCCCATTCTCAGCCCTGCCTAAGACGACAGAGGACCTGTCCACTGACATGCTGGGCAAAACATAAGAAGAAGCAGGGCTTCCTGAGGGAGGAGAAACAGTGCTTCTTCACTCAGGACAAGGGAAGCAAGGGAGAGCAGACATGGCTGTCAGACATGTGTCCTGCTGAGATGGGATGTTTTCCTGTTGGATGTGGGAAACCCAAGACTGGAACTGAGCAGAGGCTGAAGCTAGGGTGAGGATGGTGGAGAGGAGGTGGGGTGGAGAAAGAGGGGATGGAAATGTGCATGGTGCATGGGAAGATGGGAAGGCAAAGGAGGAGGGACAGCGATGGACTAGGTGTCTGGCTGGCTGAGGCTGTAAAGGTAAGACAGGATGGCTCCTCACCGCTTTTCCGGTATAGGATCAGCTCAGCCTTGAATTCCTTGTGCTCATCCAGGGCCTTTCGAATCTGTTGGCGGACGAGCTCACTGGTATCTGGTCCATAGAGGAAAGAGCAGGCACAGCCCCGCTGCATGACCTCAGCCCGGGAGAAGCCCGTAAGGTCACAGAAGCCATCAGAGCAGTAGACAACAGGGAAGAGCCCTGCCACCTGGGCATTGCCCAGCACGAAGTTACTATCTGCAAGAGAGCACCTCTTAGAGGAATGAAGAGGCAAAAAGTCTACAACTGGTTTTACAAATCCCAGGAAACCTGTAGTGTGTACTGGGCAAGAGCTGTTTGTGAATGGCACTCAGTGTGTCACCTGTATGTCAGTGCCCTGCAAGGGTCCCTTCTTAGTCAAATGTATTTGAATGCATTTGAGAAGCATGTAAGAACACAGTTTGGTGAGTATAGCCCTTTGTGGGCATTGTGCCCTCTGGAGTGTATCCTGAGCAGTTTGGGGTAAAGAGTGGGGTTGGTGATGTCCAAAGGATTACACCACCTGCCCTAGACTGGCTTCAGCAACTCCTCTATTTCTTCTAGGCTCACCCACAAGCCAGATAACTAGATTGGCTGTGGCTCCTACCACTGGGACCCACCTGGACTGGAAAGCAACCCAGCCCAGTGTCCATCTGCCCTCAGTGTTTGAGCCCCACCTGTCTAATCTGTTCAAGAAATAGTGAATATGATTATGAATGGGGGTGTAAGAATGGTGGCTGAAAACTAGAACCAGGCATGTACTGGGGAGCAGGGGTGCTGAATCAGCAGGCCCGCAAAAGCCAAGCATGATGGAAAAGCTGATGGAGGAATCCTGAGTGGGGAGAGCTCAGAGATTGGCTCTCACCCCCTATTAATAATGAGAGACTATGGAGAACTATGAGAGAGCTGGGAAGCTCCACTAAATGTGAATGTGCAGAAGGGATCTGACTTTCATGACTTTCCCTGTGGCTCAGAACCCCAGGAACACAGGATTCAGAAGCTCAGGTTGCCTTCTCCAAATTTCCTCAATCCTGGTGGGAGTCCCCAAGTCCATCTTTGGGGCTGATTTAGCTCCTGAGGCAGGTGCATTTAAGCTGTAAGATGGGCTTGGACACATGGTACTCCCTGGAGTACCCTCTACTCTATTTCTATTTGCAAAGCGCTCTCTCTCTCTCTCTCTCTCTCTCTCTCTCTCTCTCTCTGTGTGTGTGTGTGTGTGTGCGCGCGCGCGCGCGCCCTCTTGTCTGTCGGTGAGCACTGCTCACCCCAACCCCCATCCGGTTGGGGTGAGGGTAGTCCTTGTAACAGCGCCAGATCAGGAGGTGAGTCTGATTGATTAGGTCCGGATTCATGCTCCCGGGAACAGAATGCATCCCGTGCTCCACATCAAGGGACATCTTCTACCCAGTGTTGCCTCGCCAGGAGCTGCACTGACCTGAACCCTTCAGGGAAACGGTGCTTTGAAGTATACAATGGTCCCCGCTTCAGAGGGACGAGGAAGGGAGAGAAGGTGAGAACTTGTGGGCGCCAAGCTGACAAGCGGGGCTTAGGGCTGGCTGCAGTCCTGGATGGGGATCGTTTGTCCGGGAGCTAGGGGTTAGGGTTTGACTCACGCGTGCCGTCGAAGCGTGTGGCGATGGTGTCCAGAAAGGTGTTCTGCGGCGCCAGTAGCCCCCGCATGGCCGGCATCTTAGGCGGCCTCGGCCGCCCGCCCCATCCCTCCGGGGCGCGGGGACTCAGCGCCCGGGGAGGGCGCCCGCCCCCCTCCGGGCCCTGCGCCCCCTAGAGCAGCCGTCGGGGGGCAATGCCCAACAGGGTCTCGCAGGACCCGCCAGCCGCCAGCGCGCAAGGGGGCGTCCGCGCCGTCGGGGCCGTGAGCATGGCGCGAGGCCCCTAGCGCCCTCGCCGCCCACGAATCCCGGGCTCCAAGCTCCGAAGCTGCGGCCCTCTCGGCACCTCTTGCCCGCTGGGCTCCCGTCTCTGCTGCGGGCGGCTCCGCTTGGCGCCACCGCCGGATCCCCGCAGCTCCCTCCGTCTGTCGGGGTAACCATGGAGACGGGGCACACCCAGTCAGGGCCGCCTCCTTAAAGGGACAGGCCTCCTGCCGAGTTGTCCCCCTCCCCTCGGGACCTCGGCGAGGGCAGGGGGAGGTTGCCGCTCCACTGTCCCTGCCGCTCAGACCGCCCTGGCCGCTCCGCCCGCCCCTCGGAGAACGGCAGCCTGGTCTGCTCAGTCTGACTCAGCCTCAGCCGCAGGGGCGAGGCGTCTTCTCTACAGACTGGGAGTTCTCTGAGAGCCTCCTAGCAGCCTCTCCTTCCCTGGAGGGACTGGAGGAGGGCTCGGGTGTGTGTGTGGGGCGGGGGGATGTATGTGATAGAAGATGCATTTCCAGAGAAGAGTGTCATAGGAAAGGGGACTAGCGACCAGGAGGCGGTGAAGGCTGGGTGGTTGGTGGAGGTTTAGGCCCCAGAGGAACTCAAACTGCGCAGGGGAGGGGCTTCTGAACACAGCTTTGGGGCGTGCAAGCCTTTCTTAGCCTTAGCTTGACTCTGGAAAATGGAGCTGCTACTAGGAGATGCAACTGCAGGCAGCATTCTTGAGAAAACTGGAGGGTGGGTAGCCCTAGGAGTGTGATTCGGATGGCTTTCCTTTGACTCCAGAGTGGAGAAGGAGTGCAGTGGAGAAAGGAACCTAGACCCTTGACTCGCTCTATGCTTCTGTCTAGCCTGTCACCTTTTCTGCTCTTAGGTCGCGCTACAGGGTCGGAGACCGCTAGAGGTCAGACGCTGGGCAAAACTTCCTAATCTTAGGCATGCAGGTCTTGCAGTTCGGGAGTGAGGAAGATCGGGCCCACTCGTGTCAGTCCCAGGGAGCTCGGCTCTGCGCTGGACCCTGCGCTACAGGGAGGAGGTGCGGAGCAGGGACCGGGCGGGACGCACTGCTGTCTCCAGTCCGTCTCCCGCGCCGCGGCGGTCCCCGTTGCCTTGCTGCCAGCGCCGCTCCTCCTCCTTCCCACGATTTGCCAGCGAACACGGCAGCCGCCCGCGCCCAGAAGAGCCGCCGCGGCCAAAACAGCAATTTGTTCCCGGACGAGTAAAGCAGGAGGCTCAGTACCCCCACCCCTCGAGGAGACACACCCACAGCCTCCAGCGTTGGAAAGAAAGAAGTGTCCCCCGCTCCACCTACCCTCATCAGCGAGGAAAGCCAAAGCCGAAGACACCTGTATTAAAATGAACGGGTGTTTTGGGGAAGAGAGCAGCGCTCCCCTCCCTCCGTTCTCCAACCTTGGAATCTAGAGTCGCAGATCATGTCCCATCGCCTGGGCAGGTCTGGAGCTGCAAAACAACCCCTACCGGCAGCCCTCACCTCTTGCCCTCCAGGAAATAGTCCAGCATTCTGCTAAACTGCAGGGGGGTTTTGCTGTTAGCTCACTTAGTGAACTGGTGAGGCTAAGGTTGAAAGCACCCGCTGGATGGGGAACCAAGCTACATCGGTTTGAATCCTGTTCTGCCACTTGCTATTTGGGTGGTTTTTTTAGGCAAATTATTGATCTTTCAGTGACTTGGTTTTCACATCTGTAAAATGGGGATGCTAATAACTACTTCAGAGAGTTGTTATGCAGATTGAGTGAAAACATATAAATGACCTATAAGAATGTGACTTTCATCATGCAAATATTACCTGATTATGAGTCTCTCAGGACACACGTGAAATAGCCAGGATAGCCATTTCAAATACAAGTAACACAGGCAGAGAGATTGGAGAAGGAGAGAAATGCTCAAGGTAACAAAGTTGGTAAGTGGCAGAACCTGGGTTCCATCCTTGATAATCTCCCAACTCCAAATCCAGATTCTGCTTCCCTCAAACATAGCTGTCTACCATTATTAGGGCCCAGAAAGAATGGTTGAGGTTGTCTGGGTACTCAATGCACTGGTCATCTGGGATTGTGTATCAGGTCCTGGTGGTCCTGGAGAGGCCTGTAAGGCCAAAAAATGTTCAGATTTTCAGGGTTCCACATCAATACTCTGGGCTAGTTTGGGGAATTAAGCCAAGCCAGACATGGGTGAATGGTGGGGGAGTAGATGGATGGATGCAGTGCCCTTAAGAATTACAGGAGTTTACATTTATTGAGCATTAACTTTGTACCAGGCACTGTGCTAAATGTTTTATTTGGATTGTTCTATTAATCCTCACAGTAACTCTATAAGGTGATAGTATTTTAATAACTACCAATTTACATATGAAAACACCGAGGCAGAGATGCACTGTCCCTACTCACAGCTCCAAGCATAATGCTGGTTCCCACTTCCAGAAGATACATTGATACTTATGGTTATGATCACTTATCCCAAAGCGAGACAGCAGTTTAGGCCTTTAAACTCTTTCCCTATAGTCCCTCAACGAATGTGAACATGTGGAGGGATGGGGATGCAGCCGCAGAGTCTTTCCCTTAGTCTGACCTTTCTTTTTAGATATTATGTTCAGATATAGGGACTCAGACTCTCCTCTCTCTTCATTTTTATCAGCCACTCAGATCTCTGTTCAGATTTGGCATTTGTTCATATATGTCCCCTCAGTCCTTAGTGAATAATCCTCTACCTTCTCCTTGAGGGGTGGGGAGTGTAAGAAGGAGTTAAAAAATCTAAAGAGGGCACTGGAAGATGGGTCCTCATTACTCTAGTCTTTTCTTCTCCCCTTTCCTCATTCTCCACTCATTCTGGGCAATGGTAGAGAGTTGCAGAGAGGGGTAGGCTGAGAGGGGGCCCAGTTCTGATAGCTAAAAGCCTTTTTCAACAAGAAACTCAGGAGGCTGCATTTTGGAGCTGCTGTGGGAAGTCCGTAGGAGTATTATCTACAAAAAAGAACAAGGAGAGAAAGCAGAACAGAGCAGAGCAAGGAGAAAAAAGTTGGGGGGGGGCTCAGGGCACAAAAGATAAAGCCCCCCTCCTAACCAGAAAGCGCAGCAAGAGTCAGATACTATGTACCCTGGTGGGTGGGAACAGGTGGCTCTCCAGGAAATGAGCCCAGAGGCTCCTCCCCCCTTCTCCCTCCTTCCTACTCTCTCCACCCTCCTTTCTGGAGGCCCCTAGGACTGTTACAAGGCTGGCCCTCAGCCAATGTGGCCAGGCTTTACTTCTAAGGTTGTGTTGTGTGGTTCAGAAATCTTGGGTTTTCAAGTCAGTTCAAATTCTAGCTCTGTCATTGACCAGTATAACGCTGGGTGGGGTGAAGTTCTTTTATCTTGCAGTGCCTCTGTTCCTTTGTTTGTGACATAAACTGTGGTAGACTGTTATTACTAGTACTGCCCTGACTCTGCATGCTGGGACCAAGGATGTGAATTTAGGATGAAGCCTCATACAAAGTTCCCCAGCCATCAAAACAAAATATTTAGCTGGGAATGGTTGTGCAATCCAGCAGCTCAGGAGGCTGAGGTAGGAGGATCACCAATTCAAAGCCAGCCTCTGCAACTTAGCAAGGCCCTAAGCAACTCAGTGAGACTCTATCTCTAAATAAAATATAAAAAGGTTGGGGATGTGACTTACTGGTTAAGTAATTCCCAGTACCAAAAAAAAAAAAAAAAAAATCAACAACAAAAAGCCATTTTGGAATGGTCACTGCTTAGCCATCTCATTCTAAGTTATTCCTTTTCTTGTAGTGGAGGAACCTAGTTAGACTAAGCAGACTGCTGTGAAACTTTAAAAAAAAAAAAAAAGGAATCCTGGAAAGTACATGGTTTTACTTATAAAGGAACAATTACATAGTACATGGCTAGTAAGAACAGGAATCGGGTCTAAACCTTGATCTGACCAGGTTGGCAGCAGTTTGCTCCTGTGCCATGCTGTAGGAGGGTTCTATTTTATACTTTAGTAAACAGTCTATTAAAAGGGAACAGAATGCTTATTTTGATGGGTACTCAAGATAGTGATCTATAGTGAGCACTCTGTGAATAGCAACCTGGACTTCACATTGCACAGGAGACACTGCCCTTGACTGCAGCACCACAGTGAAAGCAGAAGCCAGAGAGGGAGTGCCTGCCTGACCTAAGTAATCTCCTTATTGTCTCAAGCCATGTGTTCTCACAGCACCAGTAAATGGGTTTAAAATCAAGTTATAGAGAAAGCTTAACTAGGTTAAGTTGAAGAGACATAAAAAAGACCTGCCTCTTCCTTGAGGAATCAGGAGTGGGTGGTATTTGTTCCTGCTGTTTTGACGGCAGTGAAGGGGCGGGTGGGCAGGCAGAACAGTTGTGCTGGTGATGGTGGATAGTTTCCTAACCCAGAAACATCTTTAGATAGGTGTTCCTCGGTATAGAGTATCGAGGCCCATAATAAAATTCCCTCATCACCTGTATGGAAATAATGTTTCTTGGCTTTCCTGGGAGTGTGGCTGCAGCAGGCAAGAGTGTTTACTGAGGTAGCTTGTTCCATTAGCACCCAGGCTGCTTCACCCACACAGCTCTGAAACTGGGTAAGGGTTACTTTCCTGACAGGGCTTAGACAAGAGGGGCACAAGGCCCACCATGCTGGAGGAATACACACTCTGAGAGAAAAGCCAAGTAGAAGAGTATAACCATGTGTCTGATTTCTTCTTTTTGATTAATGAAGTCTGTAGGGCTTGATATAGGGGAAACCTATCACATGCTTTTAAAGGGCAGAAGAGACACAAGCAAGCAGAGGCAAGTGGATACTTAGCTTGTCACAGGCTAGCTTATACACTGAGGGTACTGTCTAGCTATACTCTTAAAATAGTTGCATTGTCTTCACTTTATAGTTTAATAACAGGTCCAAAGATGTTACATTACATGCCCAAGGTCATCCAGTCACACTTCCAAACTACAAAACAGAATTAAACTCCAAGTCCAAGGTCTTTCTACTCTACCACACTGCCTGGCTACCAGGCAGGGCTTCCATAGTTAAGAAAGGGCTAGAACCATTTATCTGGGCCTCAGAACTCAGCAGAGAGCCTTACACACAGTAAGTGCTTCAATGTTGAAAATAATAAATGTTCCTAAGTAGCTGCAACAACCAAAACTTTGATTAATTTTATTGTACGTTTCTCTGGTTGCCAGCATGGAGGGTCAATATTCTGAACTCACTGGTTAAAATGGTGATAAAGTAATTCCTTGTTACATGAAGTCTCAGTTACTTATGTAACAGGTACTGTTTTAGACACCTGTTCCTTCCAAAATGCATGTTGCTGTATTGATAAAATTCTTACCATGTGGAATGAGTCCTATAAATCAAAACCCTCATTTGTTAGGTCCAGTGGCAGGATCTCCAGGGGCAAAAGTCATTGTTCTACTGAGCTTTTTCAAGAACATAGGTTAGTTCACAGATGGATGACAACATACCACAGATTTTCCATAACTTCTCCTATTCCCCTCAGAAATACTCCATACTTGTAAGACTGAAGCTGGCCTGGAAGCACCTACTAGTATATTGTAGCTTAGGTTCTGCTGGTAATGCTCCCACCTTATACAAGATAACAGCAGGGTGTTCATGCAACACTCATCTAGTATGTCTCTGTCACCCAAATCTATCATTCTTTTTGCTTTTGCTTTTTTTTTTTTTTTTTTGGCAGTGTTGGGGATTAAGCCCAGGACCTTACACATGCTAGACAAGTGCTCTCCGTCACTGAGCTACATCCTTAGTCCCTATCTTAAGTAGTTTATCAGCCACTTGAAGTCTGGGACTATGTTTCAGTTACCTCTATTTCTCCTTAGCTTCCACCTCAACAACTGTGCAAAGTATTCCCACATACTTGTGGTAAGAGTGTAAACCTCTGCCACTTGATCAATAATGAAGAGTACTTTATCAATTACACAGCCCCACAACTCCACTGCTAGGAATTTACTCTACATATACACTCTCACACACGAGGAATAATATATGTATTATGGGATGTTCATTCAAAAATACTTGTAACAGCAAAAACTAGAATACCATCATTAGGGACCGGTTAAACTAATTATGATATATTTATACAGTAGAATACTATGCAGTCACAAGAAAGAACAAGATATATGTTTATAAATACCAGTGGAAAGAGGTTTAAATAGTATATATTCTTTTTTAATATTTATTTTTTAGTTTTAGGTGGATACAATATCTTTATTTCATTTTTATGTGGTGCTGAGGATCTAACCCAGGGCCTCTCGTGTGCTAGGTGAGCACTCTACCATTG